GGCTATTCAGATGCTTTCATCCCGAAAATGTCTCTTATTTCCTTTCTTAAACTTCTGTTACTTGGAGTCCTAACTGACTCCTAACGGTGGTCTAGGATGTGAATCCAAATTTGAAAAAATTTGAAAAATCGTTCTATTTGCTTCTAATGGTATAAGGGAGATAACACATTGGCATCAGACTACAAATTATTTGCTAAATATCTTCTGATTTTCCTTTCTTTTAAAAACTGTCCAATGGATCTTTCTGAAACTTCTGGTAGGAAGTTGAAGTTAAGTTCCCATACAATGTGTTAAATCTATCGAGACAATGATCCGTAAACCGGAAGTAGTCGAAAAATATTCGATATTAAAAAAAACCCAGTAAAAATCGGTGGTCTTGGGTGAGACCAGATCAAAACACCTAAAGTATCGTTTGGTAGCTCGATGAATGGGCTATTGTATGACACATTTCCTGTCAGATTCCTGAAAGCCGGTTCAGTGCTGCTTGCAGGTCTAGTTATTATTATTATTATTATTTTTCCATTTGAACATATCTCAGAAACTACTTGTCGGATCGATTCGATGTCTTCGGTTTTGCTGGGAAAGTGGGTTTGACTTAAATTTTAAAGCTATTTCTAACGTTCTGCGACAATGCGAAATGTCCGAAATCACTGAAGTTGTCGTTTTTCGAAATTTTGCCATAATGTTATCAATAATTGTTGGATTGTAATATTTGATACATTTTGACATAGCTGGAGACAAGGCACATAGCTACAGTTCTTTAGATTTTTTATTTTCGACGAATCTTTGGAGATATTAGACACCAAATTTTGAAAATTTTTACGTAGAACTTTTTTATTAATGAATATTTTTATGTGGTATTTTACCAAAGGTTAAAGAGTCATCTGATTTGACCAAAAATGGCAACATTTTTTGTCACCATATTTTTCCTTGGCCCCCATTGGCTAATTCAGTTTTTCAGTCCTGGATTAATTGTTTATTGTTCGATTTGTATAAAACAAAGTTCATATGCTCCATGGTCCAAAATGTCATTTATTTTGTTACCTGTACATTTTCCTTTCAGCAACGGAGGAGACGTAAATTTAGCAAAAACTGCAATTTTGACAGTTCGGTACCACTTTTTGAAAGCAAATATTATTTTTTTTAAAATCTGGTATGACTGAAATGGTGTATCCTGTTAAGGCGCAGAAATCATCGCGCTCAGTTTTTTTAATTTTTATTTTGTTTTCGGATCATTTCGATTTAAAGCTGAAAAAAGGTGAAAAAATGAGCTATTCACAACCCATTCAGGCTTTTCATATTTTAAAATATTTCTTCGCAACTTTCATAAACTAGTAGCAATAATCCATACGAAGAGAATGTATGTGAAAATTAGTTTGTAATATGAGCAGTTGCTGAGAAATGGGCAATTTTGCATGAGTCACTTTTTACGCTAGTTTGCCTGTAAAAGAGTCAATTATTATTCGATTTTCATAAAAGTGACACCATTTAATGCGTAATGTCAACTAGGTCAATCCAATTTAACATTTTCTATGTCACCGGAAATTGTATTTATAGCCTTCAAAACCAGTAATTTATTCAAATGAGTTGTATTTGTTATTTGTTTAAAATTTTGATATTTGATTCCAATCAACTAATAGAATGAACCCATACGATCATATAGATATCACAAAATGGGGAGTAGGGTCGCCTGTCTAACCTCGTGGGTTTTCTCCGGGTCCTCCGGTTTCCTCCCACTGCTAAAGACCCCTACGCGCAAGCGAATTATTGAAATAAAATTAAAAACAATATGTTAGTCCCGAAATGACCTAGTTTGTGTCGAGTGGACGTTAAACCCCATTTCTCTCTCTCTCTCTATCACAAAATGGTTTCTAACTTGTTTAGTTGTGGAGAAATAAACGATTTTCAACAGGTAACTTTTCAAGGTTTTTGGTCCATAAAAGTGTCAATTATTAATTGATTTTCATAAAATTTCCAGTGTGTGATACCTAATGCCATTTACGATTTCATACAAGTAATTTAACACTTTTACTGTCATTTTGGCAAAAACTGTATTTTTAGCCTTCAAAACAGATATTTTATTCAAATGAGTCTGATTTGTAATGTTTTTAAAAATATGATATTTGATTCCAATCAACAAATAGAATGAATCCATACGATCATACAGATACCACAAAATGGTGTCTAACTTGTACGGTTACAGAGAAATAGACGATTTTCCACAAGTCACTTTTCAAGGTTTTTGGTCTATAAAAGTGGCAATTATTATTCGATTTACATAAAATTTTCAACATGTGATGATGTCATTTCTGATATCATAAAACTAATTTAACATTTTCATTATCACCGGAAGTAATGTAATTTTGTCAGGATCACCTACATGTAACAAATGTATGAAATGAATTGATTGCTGGATTTGGTTGATTCTGCGTCCATTTTATTTCATGTGTGCAATGCTTATGTGGAAACCTGTTTAACAGTTTCATTGGTACCGGCAGTGACATAAGTTCAAGGGTAACGTGGTACCAGTGAAACCAATCATATCTGCATCGCAGTTTTAGTGATGATTGTTTTTACTAAAACATCCAACATGTTGGCCGTTTTATTTTCCACTTGAGTATATCTCAGAAACTACTTGTTGGATTGATCCGATATCTTTGGTTTTACAGGAAAGATGGCATGACTTAGAGATTAAATCTATTTCGAACATTCCGCCACAATGCTAAATATCCGAAATCACTGAAGTGGTTTTTTTTTTTTAAATATTGCCATAATATTAACAATAATTGCCTGATTTTAACATTTGATACATTTTGACATAGCCAGAGACAAGACACATAGCTACGGCTAATTAGGTTTTTGCTTTTCGATGAATCTTCTAAGATATTAGGCGCCAAATTTTGAAAATTTAAACTTTTTTATTAATAAATATTTCTTAATGATATTTTATCCAGGGCTAAAGGGTCCTCTGATTTGAACAAAATGTCAACAATTTTTGTCTTTTAATATTGCTTGGCAGCCATTGGCTAATTCGGTTTTTCGCCCAAGGTATTTGGTCCATAAAAGTGTTAATTATTATTCGATTTTCATAAAATTTTCACCGTCTGATACCTAATGCAATTTACGATTTCATTCAAGTATTTTAAGATTTTCATTATCACCGGAAGCAGGCGCGGATCCAGAGTTGGGAGTCCAGGGTGTCCGGACCCCCCCCCCCTGCTCAGGCTTGAAAATTTGAAGGGTCCGAGAAACTTAAATCTAAAAGCCTGAATCTGACCCCAAAATTGCGAGTTTGTATACATTGAGTTGAGTCATGACTTTCAGTCCATTGTGGGCAAAAACAAATAGTCACATACAGCTCTGGCAATTAGCCAAAAACGTTGACAGCATAAATTGCCGTCGGGACCAATTGACCCCACAGCAAATCGCCTATTGACGACGGCAATTTTTTAATACCGTACTGTATGAAAATATAAGTTTATTGAAATTTAAAGAGTTTTGTTAACGCTGTTCGCCTGTTGACGTTGAATATTGTTGTGTTTGCTTTTTAATTTTATCGGCAGCGTTGATAAGAAAAAAAAACAGGTCATTTATGTGTGAAAATTCCCTGTAAACCTCTACATTTATGATTAAGCCTGTGCAACTATTGCAAGCTATATTATTTATTTTTATGCGCTGAAAGTAAAAACAGTAAACCAAGTCTATAGACTTTTCGTCTGTGAAAGTTTGTGCTCTGGAAAACCCTGACCAACTTTCCTATACTTAAATGGACTGGTTACTGTAATAGTAAATTGATACTGCAAATAAAGCTTGTTAAGAACAACTATAATATGGTATCTGAAGATATTTTTTTCCTCACCTGTGAAGGGAGCATCCCCATCAACATTTTAAGGATATTTAATGCGATTTTATTGGCGATTTTTAGACCTGTAATTTTGGAATTTACCTTCCGGAAATACGTCAGAATGCACCAAATTGAATCTAATTTACCAAATTTTTCAGGGGGAGGGCCCCCAGACCCCCTGTTACAACATTTAGCGCCTTAGCCCACCGCAATTAGTTAAGCAATTATCCAACCTAGATCCCCCCCCCCCCCCAAGCAAAAAATCCTGGATCCGCGCCAGGGAAGTAACGTCATTTTGGCAAAAACTGCATTTTTAGCCTTTAAAACATATTTTATTCAAATGAGTCTGATTTGTAAAAGTTTTAAAATTATGATATTTCATTCCAATCAACATATAGATTGAACCCATATGATCATACAGATACCAAAAAATGATTTCTAACTTGTACGGTTGCAGAGAAATGGACGATTTTCTACAAGTCACTGTTCAAGTTTTTGGGTCTATGGAAGTGGAAATTATTATTCGATTTACATAAAATTTTCACCATGTGATGCCTTATGCCATTTATGATTTCATAGAACTAATTGAACATTTTCATTATCACCGGAAGTAATGTCATTTGGGCAAAAACTGTATTTTTAGCTTCAAAACAAATATTTTTTTGTAAGTGAGTTATATTTATTATTCATTTAACAATCTTGATATTTGATTCCAATGGACATATAGATTGGATCAATACTGTCATATAGATGTCCAAAAATGGCTTCTAGTATCTTCCCTTGTCGAGAAATATCCAATTTTGTCAGGATGACTTTTATAGATTTTTTTCCCATTTTAATTTCCCATTAGAAAGTTAGCTAACTTATCGGTAAGTTAGTTACAAATTTTGTCAGGATCACCTTTTAGACATATGTAACACATGGTAACAAATGTATAGATGCAATTGATATCGCTAGATTTGGTTGATTCTGCGTCTATTTGTGCAATGCTTATGTGAAAATCTGTTTAACGGTTTCATTGATACCGGAAGTTACATAAGTTTACGGATAACGTGGCACCGAAAGTGACATAAGTTCAAGGGTAACGTGGCACCGGTGAAACCCGTCATTACTGCTTCGCAGTTCTAGTTGGAACTTTTTTAATTGTTAATTACAGGATAAAATTAAGGAAGCTGGAGACCTGAAAGGTGATGCTGATATTTTAATTAAAGATGGCAAATTCTATATAAAAGGTGCCAGAGATCATTTAGACCGATTAAGAGAAAATTATATTGTAAGTATTAAATATTATAAGTGTGCCAAATATTTAATAAATAATATTTTATTACCTGCATCATTTTTATACGCTCACATGGAAATGTGGTCATATTTTGTCGTCGCCCCGTCCGTCCATCCGTCATCCACAATTTCTTGTGGACACTCAACAGACTACATTTATCATCTGATTGTTTTGAAATTGATATATGTTGTTTACATTAGTGAGATGAAGAAGCCTATTTAATTTCAATAATTTCCGTTAACTTCTTCTTGAGTTATGGCCCTTGTTTCACTTTATTGCCCCTTGTGAACGACTAAAATTATCATCCGATCTGTATGAAACTGTCTAGAGTTATGGCCCTTGTTTCACTTTGTTGAACTGTGTGAACGCTGTAACAACAAAAGTTAACATTCGATCTGTATGATATTTATATGCATGATTTAAATGAGTAAAACAAAGAAACCTATTGAATTTCAGCAATTTCTGTTAATTAGGTCTAGAGTTATAGCCCTTGCTTCACTTTGTTGAATAATGTGAATGCTCTAACGACTAAAATCATCATCCGATCTGTATGAAACTGATGGGCAATCTTTAACTTAGTGAAACGAAGAAGCCTGTTGAATTTCAGCAATTTCCGTTAATTATGTCTAGAGTTATAGACCTTGTTTCTCTTTGTTGAACCGTGTGAACACTGTGACAACAAAAGTTATCATTCGATCTATATTATATTTATAATTATATGCATTATTTAAATGAGTAACACGAAGAAGCTTGTTGAATTTCAAAAATTTCTGTTAATTAGGTCTGGAGTTATGGCTCTTGTTTCACTTTGTTGAATAATGTGAATGCGCTAACGACAAAAGTTATCATCCAATCTTTATGAAATTTGTATGCATTATTAAAATTAGTGAAATGAAGAATCCTATTGAATTTCAGCAATTTGCATTAATTATGTCTAAGAGTTATGACCCTTGTTTCACTTTGTAGAACCCTGTGAACACTCTAATGAAACCTATTAAATTTCTTTTAATGACTTCTAGAAATATATGGCCCTTGTGTCTCTTTGTAAAACTTTGTGAAGATTTATAAACTGATCTGTATGGATAGTATTAAATTTATAATCTAAGTCCTTGTTTCACTGTAATAACTGTTATGGTCAGTTACAAACACACAAGCTACAAGCAGGCCTACCATTGTAAAGAATAGATTTTGGCATGGGTAATAAATAATACCAATGTCTTCATTCTTGTTAATATTTTAGATAACAGAGACAAATATCATTCCTCAGATTATATATAGTTTAATGTCACTTTAAGATTTGAAACAATGATTTTGTATGTCTGTCAGTAACACTGAGAAGTAGTAATAATGTTATTTGTATGTTTAGGGTATAGATATCTACCGATTTTAGTAAATTTGTATGAATATCGGTAAAATTCTAATTATCGCAAGAAATCTAATACGAAGAGACTAAAATCTGTAGATACAGTGTGTTAATTAACAGGGGTGAGAAATTGACTGAAAGGTGAATTAATTATTGCTATCTCTGCGATTATTTGTATGTTTAGGGTATAGATATCTACCGATTTTAGTAAATTTGTATGAATATCGGTAAAATTCTAATTATCGCAACAAATCTAATACGAAGAGTCTAAAATCTGTAGATACAGTGTGTTAATTAACAGGAGTGAGAAATTGACTGAACAGTGAATTAATTATCGCTAGGGGTGAAAATCTCTGCGACAGTGTTTTCTGTACTAGGTGCGTTAATTAACGAACAGGTTAAAAACAAATGACACAGCGTGTATTCTTTGTTTGGTGAGTTTTCTCGATAACGTGTTATAACTGCACCAAAAGTGTCTTATCAAGGACTAGCAGGCTTAATCTGACGCGTAGGTGTCAATTCTAAATTTACAGTGCGATTTCTTATTCGACCGTATGTTTTACACAGATCGGTCTTTGTTAAGGGTAGGTCTTTATACATGGATTTATACGTGCTGTAGTTACATATGTGCCTTCTTTAATCTATGCGTATTTCATTTGTTGATGAATACTACATGTTTTTTTTACTGCGTCCCATTGTCTGGCTGCAGTTATTTATATTTCTTGTCTTTTTGTGGATTTCATAATCGGTCGCACGCAATATCGTTATTTACTGATATCCCACCAAACCTCCATTTAATTATCCGATATATTCTAATCTCTATTGATATCAGATGCTCTAATCTGTTTTGAAAGCACAATTATAAACAAAAAACCTGTAAATTTCGTCGCCGTTATATTTTATAAATGTATTTCATACCTGGGTCGTAAATAGGGCTATACAAGGAAACAGAATTCCCTCACTATATAACAATAGATAAATCACATACCAAGTAACACTAATCATGTCTAATAATAGGTACTCACGTCTGCCTCCAACATGTGGAGTGGATCGTTGAACATCTTCTGGTATGCTATGATTCCATCACACTTTGTGTAACAAGCTTGTCTTTGCATGCACAATACCGACCTATGACACCCTATGGAAATATGGGTTTTACAAGAACAGCTAAATTGAAACACATAACTTAATATTCCCATTGTCTACGATTGTATGAAATACCTTTATTACTATACTCCACGGCACTGATAAACCACGGGTACAGTGGATTCAGTCTCATCCTTATTATAGAATTTGTACTATCCGGAGAGCACGCTTTTCACCCAAAATTGATCTTTGATCTCAAACCGAAAGGCGACACTGTTCTCAGATAGAAAGGCGAGTCCAATAATGGATATGCTGAAATAGTTGGATGGAGTGTGACTATTTTTACCTGTGACAGTTTATTCCAAGATGACAAAGTACACCAGAAAGGAGAATTTTGTCATGTGTGTGCATACTGTGGTCTATTCTTATTGCAATGACATAAATGTATGTTTCACTTTTCTATCATTTTAATAAAGCTTGATATTTTATTAACATGTATACAATTTATTTTGTTTCTCATAGGAAATTTCGGTTGGTATCTCAAATGAAAAAAAACCCCAGCCCAAGCCATTATATTATAATCAAAGAAATGGTAAAAGTTCAAACACACAAGTAAAATAGACAAGAAAAAAATACAAGCAATACCATTATTTAGGCTTTCAGACTTTGTCTGAAAGACTATTGTTTTTACTAAAATTATTATTATTATTATTATTTATCCCGGGAGCCTATTTCTCCATGATCTAAAACAGATATCGATCTGGAACCAAATATTCTATTGGGAAACCAGGTGGTGGCTACTCCTTAAAACAATTTTGAAACTTCTGCGCATACCGGAAGTGACCGAACTTTTTACTTTTTCACGATATTGAAAATTGGCCGTGGTTTCGTCAATTCTTTACCTATTTTCAAACAAATGACATTTTCAGAAACCCTGATTCTTTTTCGAGACAATGGCTATCTCACATTTTTCAATTTCGAAAATTCGTCCTGGACTTCTGTCGTTCGAAAATTGAAAAAACGTAGTTTACAAGACATTTTTGTTATTTTTCAAAATGTTCAAATTTGACCTACATTTTTGGATACCTGAAGACCATCCAATTCCAGAAATATAAGTTTCATTCCGAGTTATCGCCTTTTATTTTTCGAATTTTGGGCCCATTCCCCAACTCTTATATTTTTTTGAAAGGATTAATTGATGTTTCTGAAAGTCCTGAAACATAAAGCCATATGGTCATTTTATTTTGTAAAGCAATTTCAACATCGATCCGTAAACCAAAAAAATGTGATTTCTCCGTCCAGTATCAACGGATGTAACAAATTAGGGTATCGATGAGTGGCTCGGTGAATGGACTGTCGTATGATGCCCGATTTATATGGATACTATGAACAGGCAGCAAAATATGGCATGTTGAAAATCAAGTATTTTCTGATTTGGAGCGTTTTTGGACGCCTGTATCTCGAAAACTACTCCAAGGATTTGTCTTTAAACTTTCCCTATCGAGAGTCCCTCCGGTAGTTGTGTGCATGAATCCATCCAATAAGACATTGAAATGTCTGGAATAGGTAAAATAACGTACTGAAAATCGAAAAAAGTTGAAAAATCGTGAAATTTTGGAAAATGCTCTATTACTTTATTATTTAAACAAATTTTTACAAAAAGGTTACACATTCAGATAGCTGACCTAATTACAATTTTAACGATGTATAATATTTATTGAAATATTTATATTTAATTTTCGATATATTGACATTTTTGCATTTTTGCCCCTATTGAACATAGAATTTTCCAGGGGCATTTTATCTGACCAGGCAATGTAATATATCATTACATAGCCCTGTGGCTATTTGATAAGCCAATCCGGTTATTAAAACTATCCCAACAATAATCTCCATACCGGAAGTATTCAAAAAATGAAGAAAAAGGGTTAAAAAAATAGCACTCTTGCGAAAAACTTGATTTCTCCATCAGATGTTAGCGGACCAAAAGAACTAAAGTTTCGCTGGATAGCTCCATTAATGGACTATCATATGACATCTGAATGATACGATTTAGATGGCTAGAAAATAAAATATGGTACGCCAAAAATCTAGTATTTTCCGTTTTGGAGCATTTTGAGACGCCATTTTCTCGAAAACGAACACTACGATTTTTCTTAAACTTTTTTTACTCAGAGTACTATTGGTAGATTATGGCGTGAGTCCAAAAATAAAAGCATTGAAATAATATAAGGTGTCCAAAAAGAGCCTCAATCTTGGAAAAAAGTTGAAAAATACTTAAATTACTGAAAATACTCTACCATTTTTCTTTCTTTGGAAAACAGCTGTATGGATTTTTCTGAAACTTCTTGTACAGAAGGTTAGGTAACCAAACAACTTGTTAAAATTATCCTGACAATGATCCAAAAACCGGAAGTAGTCGAAAAAATATCCGATATTTTGAGAAAAAAACAACAAAAAGTAAAAAAAATGGTGATCTTGCGAAAAAAGTGATTACTACGTAAGATTTCAAAACAACTAAAGTGTCATTGGATAGCCCGAACAA